TGAGGAAACCCAATTGGAGACAATAGAATCTTTTAATATTATTGACTAGAGAACGTGAGCAGTCCCTGTGGAGAGCAAGAGATGACACTCATATTCTTATACTCTTTGTTCTGGGATTCATTTCTCACCCTTTCCCTATTCTGTTTGTCTGACAGAAAGCTGGCTCCTAAGACTTCATTTCCTTGGCTCCATTGCCAGTTGACTTCTGTTTAGGTTTGCCCAGTGGAGGCAGTGGTGGAAGACTGGCTGGCAGGAAGAAGAAGGTCAGGGTATTTTGATCCCTCCGTGTGCATCTCTATTGTTATCTACGTGCTCTTTGTCTCCCTGGACAACTCCTATTCTGCTATTCCCTCCCACTCAGCAGCCTCTGCTTGTTTCTAGTTCCCACCAGTTACACCCAGCTCCTAAACTCACTACATGATTGTGACCCAAGCATGTAATTAACTACAATTCCTGCACATACAAAAGGATTTGTGCACGCTTAGCACATTTTCCCTCTGCCTAGAATACTCAGCTGGCTTTTGTCAGAGAAATTCACATTCATCCTCAAAGACTCAGTTCAGGCTTTACCACCTCCTCTAATGCCACCCCATTGCCAACATGTGTTCCTTCAGACACCTATGCCTTCCTCTATCATACTAGGTGTACCGGTTAATAATGAGGATTTTTTTCAATAGATGGGGTTACACATATGTTGATATATATGCGATTTGATATGTATGCTATTTTGTTGCATTGACAAACAGAGTTCTGTATGTCAAAGGCAAATATTTAAGTGACCTAGATTGGAAAATACAGATTTGTAGAAAGAATGTCATGAAATAGAGACCGAGGCTCTATATTTGATAAGAACTTTGTGAGCCCTGGCCGGTTTGGCTCAGTGGATAGAGCACCAGCCTGCAGACTGAGGGGTCCCGGGTTTGATTCTGATCAAGGGCACATGCCCAGGTTATGGGTATGTAAGTTCTGCAAGTCAGTCACAAAAAGTCACCCTCATCAAGAAAGCTTCCTTGTTAAAGTTTTGAAAATGGAATTCCACATGATTTATTACCCAAATGCTCTTGAAAATGACTTTTATCCTGAGACATTGTTCCTTTTTGGTGAACTTTTGAACTATATTTTAGAAAAGAAATACCCAATCTTGATGGTATTCCACCTCCCAATGGAATGCATACATACATATGAAGCTTTTCTTAACTTATCCATCAAATGATTTTAAAAGTCCAAAAATTTATACTTTACATTGTAAAGATTATATGACAGTTGAAGAAAATAGAAAACAATGTTTCTCTTTAATGAACAACAGTGTGTCATCATAATGAGATATACCTATTAAAATGTCTAATAAAAAAGCAAAAAAAAAACCCCAGAGAATTACAAGTGTTTGCAAGGATGCAGAGAAATTGAAATCTTTGTGCACTATTGTAGAACTGTAAAATGGTATAATATAACAATTCCTCAAAAAATTAAAAATAGAATTTCCATATGATTCAGCAGTCCCACTTCTAGATTTATATCCAAAAGAATTGAAAGCAGGATCTCAAAGAGATATTTGCACTTTCGTGTTCATAGCAGCATTACTCAAAATAGCTAAGAAGTGGAAGCAAACCATATGTTATTGACAGTTGAATGCATAAAACATGTCTATATGTACAATGGAATATTATTCAGCCTTAAAAAGAAAGGGAATCTTGTCATACTAGGTGCTCACTGCATGAAATCATGCACCCTGAAAGGAGCTGTGGGCCGTGAGGCTGCGGTGGGCACAGGGGCAGGTCTTGGCCCATCCTCCATGCCCCCACCCAGCCCCTCCCGCCTTGCCCCCCCCCACCCTGTCTGCTGGCAGCTCCGCTCCGCTCCGCTGCTGCTGCTGCTCCCACATGCACCTTCAGTGAATGCAAGCAGCGGCTGCTGACCCCATCCCCTCTCAGGAGCAGGGGGAGGTGGGAGAAAGCCCCTCAGGGCCGATTGGGGCCAGCAGCCGCTGCTGCTGCTCACACCCGCTGATGGTGCCAAGCAATTGGGGCCAGCTCAGGGCACCAGTGGCAGCTCCAGTGCCGGCTGTGGGTGCGAGTGGGGCCATTGCCAGCTGTGGGTACGAGCAGGGCTGTCACCGGCAGCGGGTGCGAGCGGCAGCTCTGGCATGGGCAGCAGGTGCGAGCACTGGGTGGGACTGCAGCATGCAGGAGCAAAGAATTTTCAGTAACCACCAGAGGCTCACCCAATGACAGCCACCAATGCCCCGCCTTGGTCTGGAGTCCCCGCTCACCTGCTCCACCATCCCACCATGGCCGACACCCGCCATGTTCCATGCTCTGCCGCCTGCTGCAGAAGCCCACCATGTTCCTTGTGCTCCCCCTGGTATTCAGTGCACGTCATAGCGACCGGTCATTCTGTTGTTCGGTTGTTCCGCCGTTTGGTCTATTTGCATATTAGGGTTTTATAAATATAGATGTTATAACGTGGATGAACTTGGCTTTATGAGTATTAGCTCATCTGATGCAAAGAAAAGTGTAACATGGTACTATTATAAATTCCATTTTACAGAAGAAAAAGCCAAGGAACAGAGTTATTAAATGACTTGCCCAAGGTCATAGCACTAGTAGGAGCCAGAGCTGGGATTTGAGGCCAGGCGTTCTGACTTTGGAGTTCATATTCTTTTAGTCACTTGCTAAAATTATACTTTCCCATATGTTTTATAAAATATATTTTTATTGACTTCAGAGAGGAAGGGAGAGTGATAAAAAAAACAGATAGATAAAAACAATAAAAAATAAGTCAGATGGTCCATCTAGTTTAGAAGTTTGTCTCAGGTAATACTGAGCAAACATTTTTTTAAATTATATTTTAGAAATTCTTCTAATATTTTTAGCAATGCTATTGAAAAAAGATACTGTTATATATGTGTGAGAAAAATAGTTTACAATAACAATAGTTTACAACATAATAGCAACTGTTATGAAAATTAAAGTTTATAATCCTCCAAATTTTTATAGTCATGTCATCAATTATAGAGTAATTTTCTAATTGTATGTAGGCTGGGTGACAATAACTCAAATTAAATGCAAGGCCGCAGAAGTTTTTCATATGGATGCCTTGTTGACCCACTATTTTTGCAACACTGGGAAAAGCCATGGTAGATTTCATGTTGATCCTGCTTTTCCCCTGGACAGAGTCAGTTGTGGCCTGCTCTAGCTCTCATTACTGTGATGACGGGCTCTATCCAGATGCTAAATACTCGGGAGACACTCTACTACAGTGTTAAAGACTGACCACTTCCCCCAAAGAATGTAGCATTCCAAGAGAAAACAGCCCTCCGTCTGACACTAGTAAAATTGTGAAGGTGTGTGATAAGTTAGGCATTAAAATGAGAGGCCACAAATTCTTAAAAGTGCTCTGCCCCTCACAGTGAGTCCCTCCTCCTCTCTTTCCAACACAGAAACAGTCATATATTTTAAATAATGATAACAATAAAGCCTATAAATATACACTAGTAGAAACAACAAAATATTTTCAAATATAAAGTGTTACAATAAGTTATTATTGTACAGAAATTTTCATTTCTTTACATTCACAAAACAATAGATTTTAAAAGTACTATTTACTTGAATCAACTTCCTAAAGAAATACAAAATTTTTTAAATCTAAAATAATGAATTTTATTTATATAAAAAAACAAATGGTGTGGCTTGTTTTTCAAACAAATTTGACTATAAACTAAAAAAATTGTATTTCAAATCAAAAGTATGTAAAATATTGTTCTAAAATGACCAGTGCCTAAATTTTCTTTAAAAATGCAAAATAATTTGCTTTAGAAAAAAACAAATTATGATGTGTCAATTAAGATTTACTAAACAACAGATTTATTTTGCTAAAGCAATGTATAATTCCAAGTATTTTTTTCTCCTTTTTATTGTGGTATAACTTAAAGTATACAACCTAAGTATACATCTTGATATATTTTTAAGTTATAGCCATGATCCACCAACCAGATCAAGATAGAGAACCCTTAAAAGACAATGTTTCCTCCAATTTTAGGTATAGAAGTCCTCGGTAAGGGTAATGTTTAAAATGCACATTCCTAGGCCACACTCCAGAGGTTCAATATTGAAATGTCTGGATGGGTCCCTGAGACTGAGTATTATAAGCACTGCCATCTGGACAGACTCAACCCATAAAGGGAGCCTAACTGACTCATCACTCTGGATGTTCCATTACTCTCAAGATAATTGTATTGGAAAATCTAGGTGGTTTTCTTACTGAGGATGAATGTCTATGACATTTACTGTCCCTGAGTAACTTTAAGTTTTAGTGTTATTTTCTCCTTCCTTGAACCAGAGTTGCCTAAATGAAGTTTCCATCAGTTCACGGCAAAATGAAATGTATTTAAGGATTGCTGTTTATTGAGATTATACTTTCAGGATTTTGAAGTGCCCTTTATGTTATGAAATCACTCCACAGTAAGAATAGTTGGTGTTTTTAATTTAGAAAAATAAGGCTTAGTAGAAAGTCTCTGTTGTTCTCCTAATTTCAAAAATCTGGAATTTTTAAGTTAGAGCCATGATCCACCAACCAGATCAAGATAGAAAACCTTAAAAGACAATGTTTCCTTCAATTTTAGGGATGGAGTCTTCGCTGCGGATACTATTTAAAATGTAGATTCAGGTCTGTTCCTGGAATTTGATTGCCACCAGGTGAAGCAGAGTGCTACAGTCTGTACAGCTTAATGGTAGGGGGATTTTCGCTGCCAGAGCATGTCTAATTTGACTGAAAATTTTCTGCTGCTCCAAAAAATGACATTAGCATCTTTTCTCTCCTTAGGTAAGTACCACATCCTTTCTGTAGAAAACTTTCAAAGAACGGGGAGACATGAAACCACCAAACCATTGTTAATATACTGATTTATTTTTTCAGTGTTTTAATGCACAATTTTTTTAACAAGTCAAGAATATATATGAATATATATATATATATATATATATATATATATATATATATATATAAAACAACCATCTGATTCCCCAACCATTTGGGGAATTTAGAAAACAGAATGAGTTGGCACGACTTCTACTTTCTGGCATATTCAACAAGGTGCCATTGATAAAGAAAGGAACACTGGAGGATAGCCGGATCTTGATTTTGGATTCCTGGGAGACATGCAAGTGTAGATGTTACCAAAGCAGCTGAATCATCAGAAGCTCAGAAGTGGTGTCTGAGTCAGAGCGAGAAAGCTGATATTTTTCCTTTTAACACACCATGGCAGTAAATAAAATAGGGCATAACTAAGGTACCAGGAGCAGATAAAATGATTCAAACACACACACACACACACACACACACACACACACACACACACAACAGGTGAAAGCAAGAAGCAGTGAAAATGTTAATATTATCTACATGTACATCACTGTACATGATGTAGGGGCACAAAGGTGAATAAGATATGGCTCCTAGTGTACTGTCAATGGAGGAGACAGACACGTTAGTCAATCATATATATTTTACTTGGTTTATGACAAGAAGTACAAGATGCTGTGAGATCCCAGAGGAAGGCAGTTAAGTCTGGAAAGTTGAATAAGAATTAGAAGGAGAGCCCTAACTGGTTTGGCTCAGTGGATAGAGCGTTGGCCTACGGACTGAAGGGTCCCAGGTTCGATTCTGGTCAAGGGCATATATCTTGGTTGCGGGCACATCCCCGTAGGGAGTGTGCAGGAGGCAGCTGAATTGATGTTTCTCTCTCATCAATGTTTCTAACTCTTTATCCCTCTCCCTTCCTCTCTGTAAAAAATCAATAAAATATATTTTTAAAAAAGAATTAAAAGAAGAAAGGCATTTCAGGCAGAAGCAATAAGATGCACAAAAGCACTGAGTCTTGAAACAATATATATATGATCACAAGCAGTCCAGTAGTATTAATACGCAGGGTTTGAAGGTTAACCATCAGGAGGTCAGACAAAAGAGAGAGAAAGACCCCAATTATAGCGGGTCTTGCATGATCTGTCAAGGAAGGAGTTCAGGATTTATACCCTAGGAATAGGGGAGGGACGTGGCCATATTTGCAGATTAGGGAGATGACTTAAATCAATCATGGAGAGCTCGGGCAAAGCTGACCAGAGCAGAACTGGTTAGGAAAGAAATAAGTTGCTACGTGTAAAGGGAGTGTTGACAGGGATGAAAAGGGGCAACACATTTAATGAATATTTAGGTCCACCCCTTTGTTCAAAATGCCTGTGTGGAAAATCCTATTTTCTTAGTGCAAGGCTTTTCCCAGCTTTAAAGGCAGTTGACAGCGACTCAGGAGAGATGGAGGAAGCCCAGGTTTAAATGTATGAAGTCCTACAAAACAAAAGCAAAAATAAGCAAATCAACAACTACAAAAACACAGCAACTACTAATATATGGCGAAGCTAAAACGCCTGGGCAACATTTACTGCAAAGCTAGGGAACCCCAAAATACAAGTGGGTGGAGCCAAACCCCCAAGGGTCTGTGCAGGATGGGCAGGTGAGGACAGGTGGTCACCGCTCAGGTGTGGCAGGTGCGCTTGGCCCCCAAGACCGTGGGGGTGCTGCAGGCTCAGCAGCTGGTAGCACTCAGCCTGCGTGGGAGCAAGAGCTTTGTTCGCTCTCGCCCGGCGCTGCAGGGACTGGAGGAGCAGAGCCCCCCTGTAACTCCAAAACTGTGACCTGCTGGTGCTCCGAACTGGGATATGACCCCACACTGAGGAGGAGAAGCTGCGTGGGCAGTAAATCCCAGCAACACCTGTACAACTGGGACAAAGTAAAGGTTCAGGGGGTTGGAAACAGGACCAGGGAATCCCAGTGCACAAGCCACCAGGGTTTTGACCGCTACACATAAACAACAGAAGGAAAGCCTTTCTCCACCCACCTCCCTGCAAAAGTTCACAAGAAAAACTAATTTGCATAGAAACGAGCACAAGGAGAGTGTCGAGGGAAAATCCCACACAAAATTATAATTTTTTTTTTTTAAAGGAGCAAACTAACATCACTACAGACAAGGAAAGCAGGCCAGTAAGATGTGCCCACAACACGGCTCCAAACTGTAATCTACCATTTCAAAACAAGCCTAAAAGACATGAAGAAAATGAAGCAAGACATGAAAGAACATCATAAATCAGAGCTAGAAAAGCTCAGCATTGACATGACAGAACTCAGAAAAGAATTAGAAATACAGTAAAGGGAAAAAAATCAGTTCTGAAACAAAGACGAAACCAAAGGGATATAAGGGCAAATGAACACAACAATGCCTTAAAAGACACAGAAAGGGAAAAAGAGGATTTTTTTTCATTTATAAAAGAAATTATTTTAAACTTCAAACAGAAAAGAATGAGAAAGAGCAGCAAGTACATAGATCTTTGCCAGCTGCTACAGACAGGACCTCCGCTTTTTACTTGTTGCTGCTTTACCAGTCTTTCTTTTAGGCATCGCTGTATCTTGTGGTCCTACTCAGTTTTTGTCACATGATAGGTACAGAATACTTTAGTTCAAGCATGTCAAGCTCAAAGGCTAACACGGGCCAAATAAACAAGGTTTAAGTCTATGTGGGGCGCAAAATGCAAAAGCTTCAATTTTCATAAAAATGTAGGTTTATTTTGATAGAGACATGCTGAATACAGAGGGCTGAAATAAATGACTTATCATTAACATAAAATCATAAAACATTTTAATAAAAATTAATATTTTTTCTTGAACATTAACTTACCAGACACTGAATAACTGCACAAATTAATAAGTGTAACGCAAATAAACCTATTTTTCTAATTCTCCGAAAGTGAAACATTTCCTGTTGCGCACACCATACAAGTCAGTCCAAGACTAATGACGTGGCAATCGGCTGCTAAAATATTCGCTGCTAGTATTAGTGGAGAGAAATGGTGCGCCTACACATAAGGCACATAAGGGAAATGAATGCAACACGATTATAGTAATCAGTCATTAGCAAACGTTGTAGTTCGTAATTAATAATTATGTATAACAGGATATTGTAAAAAGTAAGTTACAAAATATTTATTAAAAGGTTTCTTACATACCATTATATTGGCTGGGCTCCATAAATATTCATTATGGGCCGCGAGTTTGACATGCTTGCTTTAGTTGAATAAATGGTGTTTGGCTCCCTCATTTCCTACCTTCAGGACTCAGAGAAGCCTTCAAAGATAAGAATACCACACAATAAAAGATAAGAATACCACACAATAAAAGATAAGAATACCACTAAGCCAGTTCCCTTTTTTCCCTGGCATTGAGTTAATTTTCCATTGCCACTTAGGAGGATAAAAAGTGGAGAGCGCCCTTTCAGAGACCAAATACCAGGAGTCATATTCTTTCCTTTTTCAATAGTTCTACCTCCCCCTGTGCCTACTGTATCCTGGTAAATTAGTTTTTTTTCTATCATGTGGAAATTTTCAGGACACAAACATATTTTTCCCCCTAAATCACATATATTCATTCATCCAAAGCAAATAGTTATTATGCAACAAATAGTTATTGGGCAGTAATGAACAAGACCACAGATTAGGTTCCTGCCTTCACAGAATTACCTTAAGGAGAGAAGATTGTAAACCGGTAAACATATAAATAAGATCATTATAGACTGTGATAAGCACTGGGAGGGAAATAAACAAGGTAATGAAATGAGGGAAGCTATTCTAGATAACAAGATCAGGGAAGACTTCTCTAACCATACCCCATAGTTTCATATCATCCGGTTAGTTTGATAATGTTAAAATTCTCACGTGACTTTCCATGAATCCCAGTTGTTATTCTTCTTTGGGGATACCTACAGCCTTTTTTCAATTTTCTTTATTTCCTCCAAAAGGTAGGTACATGGGTATAGAATAAATACACCCCATTCCTGACCTTGTAGAAGTCATAGTTTAGTGGGAGACACAGACATGTAAACAGATAAGTAAAAATAATAGGACAAAGGTTATGCCATAGGATGAACACTGTTACTCTTTTTCCTAGTTAACTCTTCTGCCTTGGGCCTCTGGCGTCCCTGGAAAATCCTGTTTGCCTATTTGGATTCCTGGCTGAAATTCTGCCTGGCTCCCTACATCATCTCAATATTTACTTGTTCTTTGTTGACTAGATCAAAAGAAACTTGATTTGCATACAATACTAGCTTCATTCCCTCATATCCAGTAGATCCTAGCATTGACTTGAGGTCATAACTTATGGTAACATGGAAATTTTACTTTAAAATGCCTTCATTAAAGAGCCCACATTTTTTGCATCAACATTTTCAAGTAAGTGCTAAATAAGATTTTTAGCCAGATAATTGAAGCTGGTTGCTATGACACAAGAGATTGTGTTCAAATGATAACTGTCATTGTTAGAAGTCTGTAGTGCATTTCAGTATCACTGTATTTCTACCAGTATGTTAACTAACCACATTGGTCTGGTAATCAGGCAGTGTTTACTTGGACTGCAGGAATTTTTAAAGACAGATAACACAGACACAGAATATTATATAAAAGACACAGAATTAGAAGTATTTGAACAGATATGTAGGTATTTTATGTTCTGAGGTGGCAAGTTGTTTATATGAGCATGTCACCTCTTAGATTCATCACAATTCTTTCAGATTCCCCTCAGATACTCCCAAATTCTGGGAATTGCTATTTTCTCCAAAAAAAAAAAAAAATGGGGATTCCACATTCCAGGTCCTGGTGTTGGGGACTGGTGAGAAAGAGCAGTGATGGATCCCTCTGTCCAACATCCTTCACTTTGCATACCACAAGGTCCCAGAATGGAGTAGAATCAGCTGTCAATCCCAGCTTTATATGAGGTGATAAGTGAAGAAAGAAGGGGATTTAAGTCTTCTGAAGGCGCCTTCTCTCTGTGATTCTTTCATGAGATGACAGCATGACTGAGGCTTCTGGAAATTCTCACACAGGCACGAGGTGGCGTTCCAATAAGATCCCTTCAGAGCGAGACCACAGGGTCAGGAAAAAGTCACCTAACTCTCCAAGAAGCAATAATTATTTTTTTGGGAAAAAGTTAGCAAACACCTAGCTCTAAGAATTGTCTGTGCTTTCCGTGTAACTAAAGGTCTCTGCTAATGCCTCCAGCACATCTCTATCATGGCACTTACTCCACTGCACTAAGATTGGTTTATGGATCTGTCCCTTTTGCCTAACCATGAGTTCTTTTATGTACGAAAAGCATTTTAGTTGTTTTCTTAACCTCAGAATCTAGCACTGTGTCTAGCACAGAATAGGGACCGAATAAATGTGCATTGAATAAACAAACTGGATCTATAACTAAAGAAGGCAGACATATTAAAATGCAATAGGCATCTCCATGCGGTATATAAAAAGAGTGACTGGATTAAAAATAATGTTATTTAGAAATATTTCAAAGAGCTAATCAGACATGAGCATCTAAAAATGTATCCACTATAGTCCGGCTAGCGTGGCTCAGCGGTTAAGTGTTGACCCAGGAACCAAGAGGTCTCCAGTTTGATGCCAGGTCAGGGCACATGCCTGGGTTGCAGCTTGATCCCCAGTAGGGGGGAGTGCAGGAGGCAGCTGATTCATGATATTCCTGTCTCATTGATGTTTCTATCTCGCTATACCTCTCCCTTCCTCTCTCTCTTTCTGTAAACATCAATTAAAAATTATTTTAAAAATAAAAAATGTATCCACTACAATAGACTATTACAAAATATGGATGAATTTCTCTCAAGGATGTGTAGGTCTGGACATCCAGGTTCTATGCATATTTATTCATTTCTACGGCATTTCTTGAGTACTTTTTATGTGCTAGGAATTAAGATAGGAATTGGATCTATAACAGATATTTATAGTCATTCTACTCAATATGTTTAGTCTAGTAGGAGGAAACATGTTTTTAAAAATGGGCTCAAACATTAAGGCCCTGAGATAAGTTTGTTGCCAGCAGAGTGGAGCAGGAGGGAGTGATTACTTCAGATATGCTCTGCTAATGGGAAACACAGAATAGGGATGATGATGCTTGGTCTGGGCCTTAAAAAGTGAAGAGGTGGTCAACAGGGTGGGCGGGGTATAAGGGCATTTTAGACTGACAGAGCTGCTGGAGAACAAGGCACGAAACCATGAGCTTGGTGACCTGTGTAAGCAGAGCTCAGCGTGGAAGAAGTGTAGGATTCTGGATAGATAAAGTCCTAAAGAACTTTATAGAGTATGCTAAGAAGTTTTTGCTTTATACCACATGAAATAGGAAGTTCAAAGTACAATAGTTTGCTAGGGCTGCCATAACAAAGTATAGCAGATCTGGTGGATTAAAACAACAGAATTTTATTTTTTCACAATTCTGGAGGCTAGAAGTCCAAGATCAAGGTGTTCACAGGGTTGTTTCTCCTTGGCTTGTACATGACCATCTTCTCCTTGTGTCTTCACATGGTCTTTCCTCTGTATATGTTTATATCCTAATGTTTTCTTATTATTAGGACACCAATCATATTGGACAAAAGCCCATTGAATGACCTCCTTTTAACTTAATTACCTCTTAAAAGACCCTACCTCCCAATACAGTTACATTCTAAGGTTCTGGGGGTCAGGAACTTCAACATCTGAATTCCGGGAGTGGGGCATAATTCAACTCATAACAGTGTTAGATGTACATTTCAGATCACCCAGGCAGCAGGGGAGAGGACAGGCAGACAGGTGCAGAACCCGGGACAGGGAGATCCTTTGAAGACTACCACAGTTGTGTATGTGACAAATGATCAGAGCCTGGACTAAAAACACAGAGCAGTAGATAAAAAGGAGATGTTAAGAGAATCACCTTAAAAACTGGCCTGCAGGGTAGAATTCAAACTTCTCAGCAGAGTCCACAGCACCCTTAACTATAGACCGTATGTGCAGACTCATGCCTTGCCATTTGACATCACACATGCTACCCTCTAGGCACAAAGGCCTTCTCAGAGCCTTCAGTGACTATGCCTTTTCTCAGGGCTAAGCCTGTGTACCTGCTCTTCTCTCTGATTAAAACATTCTTTGCCCTTTTCTTAGGCAACATCTATTCAGCTCCAACTTTCTCTGGTAGCAAGTCACTTCCTTCCCTAAACCCCAGGAGCACTCTGTGCATAGACTCTCTCGCATTGGGCTATGAATTAGTTTACATTTTACATGCTTGCTACCCCCACGAAACTGTAATCTCCTTGTGGGCTGGGATTCATTTTCTTTCTTTGTTTCCCCAGAGCCTGAGATGTTGATCAGCGAATGGAAAGCATTCAATAATACTTGAGGAATACTAGTATATGAGAATCAAAGTCTTCACCTTGCTCCTACCTAGATACTACCAGGTGAGCCCTTGCCTGTCTTTCCAATGTAATCTCTCTTTTAAACTAAAACACTAGGAAGAGCCTAAGCAAAAAGTCAGATTTTCCACATTTGGGGCTAGATTTCTCTTATAAAAAGAAACAAGATATTTTCACAAACCAGCAAGGAAAATTCCAGACGAAAAGCCAGGCAAATCAGCAGAGTTTCCAATCTGTCACCACTTTAAACCATCTTGTAAATCACTTCCAGTTTAATTTTAAAGGACAAAACACCACTGTCTTCATGTCTTTTTCTTTTTTAAGAACTCAATGAGAGGCTCTCATTGCTTATCTGATCAAATCCCAGTTTTCCAGTCTGGTTTTGAAGACCTTCCACAGCCTGGCTGCGTTTCATCTATACAATCCACTATCAATGCAACTGTCAGAAACACAGACTGAACCATTCACTCTTGTACTCAAAAATACTTTAAGGTTCCTCAGGACCTGAGCTAAATTTCAAATTCCTCACATAGGCATTTTAGTATTTGGTGCTGGCCTTTCTTTTCTGATATATTCTCCCTGACAGTCTTCAATCTTCAGCTAACTTCCCAAGTTGTCTTTCTCAAATATTTCTTACACTTTCCTGATTTTCTGTCTCTACAGTGTGCAGATTGTTCCTGAACCACCTGCACGACTCTCTTCCATATCTGTGGTAAAAGTCAGCAGTCCCAATACAAAAAACATCCAATCTGCAAGCTTCCTCCATTTTTTCTATCCTCTTGAGAATGAATCTGTTTGAGGCCAGTCTGATTGGAACCCATGCTCTTCCTGTATCCCCTATCTCATATTGTATCTTTCCATTACAGTTACTTAAATACATATTGTATCATGTCTATCAGCATAC